TTTTAAAATTTTTTATTTCCATAGGTTTTTGGGAAACAGTTGCATGAGTGAATTATTTAGTGATGATTCGTGAGATTTTGGTGCACCCATCACCCAAGCAGTATACATTGAACCCAAGTTGTAGTCTTTTATCCCTCACCCCCTTCCCATCCTTTCCCCCGAGTCCCCAAAGTCCATTGTATCATTCTTACGCCTTTGCATCATCATACCTTAGCTCCCAATTATGGGTGAGAGCATACGATGTTCGGTTTTACATTCCTGAGTTACTTCACCTAGAATAATAGTCTCCAATTCCCTCCAGGTTGCTGCGAATGCCATTAATCCATTCTTTTTTATGGCTGAGTAGTGTTCCATCATATACATATATTACAGTGTCTTTATCCACTAGTTGATGGATGGGCATTTGGGTTGGTTCCGTATTTTTTTCAGTTGCAAATTGACATGCTATAAACATACATGAGCAAGTATCTTTTTCGTGTAATGACTTCTTTTCCTCTGGGTAGATACCCAATAATGAGACTACTGGATCAAATGGTAGTTCTACTTTTAATTCTTCAAGGGATCTCCACACTGTTTCCCATAGTGGCCGTACTAGTTTGCATTCCCACCAGGAGTGTAGAAGTGTTCCCTTTTAACCGCATCCATGCCAACATCTATTATTTTTTGATTTTTTGATTATGGTCATTCTTGGAGGAGTAAGGTGGTATCACATTGTGGTTTTGATTTGCATTTCCCTGGTCATTAGTGATGTTGAGCATTTTTTCATGTTTGCTGGCCCTTTGTATATCCTCTTTTGAGAATTTTCTATTCATGTCCTCAGTCAAGTTTTTGATGGGATTGTTTGTTTTTTTCTTGCTGATTTGTTTGAGTTCCTTGTGGATTCTGGATATTAGTCCTTTGTTGGATATATAAATTGTGAAGATTTTCTCCCACTCTGTGGGTTGTCTGTTTACTCTGCTGAAGTGGCTAATTAAGTGTTAAGTACTTTAGATTAGTTTTCTCATTTAATTAACATAATAATCCTATGGCCATAAGCCACATGCACAGCTGGGTCATGGGTGCCTGCTCCCTCCCCATCCTGAGCTGAGCAAGTGGATGGCTGCACAGCAGGTGCTCAGCCAGTGCTGCAGAGCAGGGTTTGAAGGCAGCACTAGGCAGGTAGTGCTGTGGAGTAGCCCTTGAAGGCAGCACAGTGCAGGGCGGAAGTAATAAATGAGCATTCTGTGAGCCACATAGAGTCAAGATGGATCGCTCTTTATGTTTTGTCTTCAAAATATTGTCATTAATCATTAGCATTTAAAATAAGGAGATTTTACTTAAGATTCCAGAAATTCAGCTTTCCTTCTAAAATCAAAAAATCTAGCATAGTTGAACCTACCTTCCATCATCCTGACTAGCAGCTGCCCACCTTTAATAGGGCATTGCTAAAGTTTGGGTGTTTATCCCTTCCAAACCTCATGTTGATATTTGATCCCCAGTGTGAAGATTTTGTCCCACTCTGTAGGAGAAAATATTTTCTATTTTCTTCTCTGAAGAAATATATTCTCTTCTCCTGCTGTTATCTCCCCTCTTCTTCCTCTTTCTCCTCCTTTCCATTTTAGAAGTAGATAATCAATCTGATTATCTACTGATTAGAAGTAAATAATCAATCATGGAGACTAAGTAGCTTTCATGCCATTAGTAAGTTACTAGAGCTCAGATTCAACCCAAAATATGTCTAAATCTAAAGTCTACGCTCACAAGCTTGGTCAGAATCTTTTAAGATTCTGTTGAAAGGGTTTGAAGGGTGATATAAACAAGTGAAATAATCCAGGTAGAAGGATTATTTCACTTTTAATTTTAGCAAAGGAAAATAAAAGCACAAGTGAAATAACATAAGGAAATGTACACTTTGAATTACACTGTAGATATAGAAAAGAATAATGGAGAATTATAAAATGGCAAATTTACCTGTCTTAGTCCAAATGTGTCGCTATAAAGGAGTATGTGAGGTCGGATAATTTAGAAAAAAAAATAAGGCTTATTAGGCTCACATTTCTGTAGGCTGAACAAAAAGCATGGCATCAGTATCTGCTTCTGGTGAGGGACTCAGGCTACCTCCACTCATGGTAGAAAGTGAAGGGGAGCAGGCTGTGCAGACATCACATGAAGAGAGAGGAAGCAGGAGAGGGGTGAGAGAGGTGCCAGGCTCTTTTTAACAACCAGCTCTTGCAGGAACAAATAGAGTGAGACCTTAACCCCCACCCCTACCAGAGAAGGCATTAATCTAGTCATGAGGGATCCTCCCCCATAACCCAAACATCTCCTATTAGGCTCCACCTCCAACACTAGGGGTCAAATTTCAGCATAAGGGATAAACACTCAAACTATAGCAATGCCCTATCTAAGGTGGGCAGCTGCTAATCAGGATGATGGAAGGTAGGTTCAACTGTGTTAGATCTTTTCATTTTAGAAGAAAATCTGAATTTCTGGAATCTTAAATAAAATCTCCCTATTTTTAAATGCTAATGACTAATGACAGTATTATGAGGGAAAACATAAAGAGCTGTCCATTTTGACTCTATGTGACTCACAGAGTGCCAGATTATTATTTCTGCCCTGCACTGTACTGCCTTTCAGGGTTACTCCACAGTATACTACCTGCCTGGTGCTGCCTTCAAATACTGCTCTGCAGCATGGCTGAGCACCTGCTGTGCAGCCATCCACTTGCTCAGCTCAGGATGGGGAGGGAGCAGGCACCCAAGACTCAGCAGTGCCTGTGGCTTATGGCCAGCATTTACCCTGAGTGGATTTGGGATATTTTAAACATCATTCTTGGATAGGTTTTTAAAAATATAATAATTGCCTTAATCCTCACAACAATCAGAAACAAGATTTAATTATCTCTGTTTTGCAGAAGAGTAATTTGATACTCAGGTTGGTTATGAAGGTTGCATAGCTTTAAGTACATGGCTTGGGATGTTAGACTCACCTCTGACCCCATGGGCTCATCCTTCTATAGAGTTGCCTCTATCTTTGAAGTAACTTAAATTACTTCAAGTTAGAAAACATTTCCTCTTTTTTATCACTCTGGTAAGAATCTGAAGCAAAGTGGAAGTTGGCAGATACAATCATCTTTTAGGAGAAAAGATACCTTTGCCACTCCTCATCTCCCGACCATCAGGTCTTCTAGAGATGGAGAAGAAACTGTTAGGGCAATGAAGGAGGAAGAAAACAAGAATCTGCTCTTCATAGTCCTGAGGCTTCAACACTAAGACAAGACACTCCCATACTCTGTAGGTGACGGCAAGGGCAGGTACACAGGGAGGGAACCGGCTGCTGGAATGTCAGCCTGGGTGATACGCCAGGCAGATGCCAACCAGCTGTCTCATGGCCCAAGCCAGACCCAGAACCCTTTATATAAAGACAGCCCTCTTCCCAGATGCCTCAGCCTGAGCGACTGCTTGCCTGTGAGGAGGGTGAGTCTAGGAACTGGATCCTGGGATTGGGGTGGGTGTGATGTTCGGGGGAGCCCAGGTTCACAGTAATGAGGCACAAAGAAGGGAGAAACTAGGAGCCGGGGAGGGCAAGGAGTGCATCAACCTCAGGAGAAAAGTCTGGTGAGCTTTTAGGAGACAGAAGCATAGCTATAGAGTTTATGAGATGAGCTGGGGCTGTGACGCCAGTGTATTTGCCTTTGATAACCCTGACCTTATCCTCAGGTACCATTTTCCCTCATGATCTTTCTGGAAAAGCCACATTAGCAATTTACGCCTTATGGGCAAAGTTGTGTGTGGAAGGGTTACCTTCCCCAGGGAAATAGAAATGTAGATATTCTCTATAAATTGAAAAAGGAAGGTTTAAACCCTCATCAGGAGCATTTGGGGAACTTATTGAAAGGCGTTTTGTTGGATGAGCCTGTTGTCAAATGATCTTGTTTTGCTGGTCAGTGGGCTGCCTGCAAATCCACATAAACACGTGGATCTGGGACAAGCAGTGGAGTGAGGCTGCCCTGTGCTCTCCCCGGCTAAGCGTGGTGTCAGGGTGTATGCCTGCAGCCCTCAAGTCATGTCTGCAATGCCCCAGCTGCATAGATCATTGTATGTATGGCAGAATGTCCGTCTTCTGATTAAGAACCTTGGACTTTCTGGCTTACTCCATCTTGGGTAACTCCACCTTGCCTCTAAGAGGAGCTGGGGAAAAACATTTCTGAGGCCTGCAGGCTGTCACACTTCAGGTGATTAACAATGGCAACCTGACTGGGCAAGTTGTCATGGTGGTCAGTCTTTCCAAGGCTGGTGTGTTTTGCATGGGAAAACTTTGCACATGTTATGTTTAAATGAATTTATTTCAAAACACTGTGTCATGTTTAAATGACTTTATTTCAAAACATTGTGTCATGTTTAAATGAATTTATCTAAAAACATTGAATATAAGGAAACAAACATTTAATGTTGGGTTTGAGCTGCCCACTTTCCAGTGAATGCTTTGACATTATGTGAATGCAGATGGTGTCGAGTGCTTATTCTCATATGTATGGTTTTACATGTATACTGCCAGTGCACATGTGTGAGTAAATCCTAGCTCCTGTGGGAGAGGAGTTTCCACTTTGGGCTATAGCCTTGGGAGCAAGTTTTATCTCTACTTCCTGTAGGGCTGCTCAGACCACATTGGATGTGAGAAAGTGTGGAGACAAAAGGAGAATCCTTTTGTCATCAGTGCCCCCTTGTTCTGGGCACTGATGCCACCCCCAGGGAGGTCCACCCCCAGGGAGATCCTGAACACCTGCAACCCTGGATGTACACAATCAGGCCCTTTGACAGACTCAAGGCAGGTCTAACAGACTAATCCTGTATCCAACTAAGTCAGGACACTTGGGTGAAGGTTGAGGGTGGAGGAGGAAAAGCTAGGGAAAATGAAGGGTGTCTTCCTCTAGGTCCCAGCCCTCCTTCTCCAACTCTCATCCTCCTGACCCTGGTCTCTCTGCCCTCAGGTCACGCTCGACTGGCTGCATCAGAACCATGTGTGACCAGCAGCAGATCCAGTGCTGCCTGCCGCTCCAACAGTGCTGCGTCAAGGGTCCCTCCTTCTGCTCTTCTCACTCCCCCTTTGCCCAGAGCCAAGTGGTGGTTCAAGCCCCTTGTGAGATGCAAATTGTGGAGTGCCCTGCACCATGCCCAGTTCAAGTTTGCCAGGTGACAGACCAGACTCCATGCCAGTCTCAGACCACACAGGTGAAGTGCCAGTCTAAGACCAAGCAGGTGAAAGGCCAGGCTCCATGTCAGTCTAAGACCACCCAGGTGAAGGGCCAGGCTACATCCCAATCTCAAACTCCCTCTGCTCAAAGCCAGGTTCCATGCCAATCTGAGGTGTCCTACGTGCAGTGCGAAGCCTCACAGCCTGTTCAGACTTGTTTCGTAGAATGTGCTCCAGTTTGTTATACAGAAACTTGTTATGTAGAATGCCCAGTCCAGAACTATGTACCCTGTCCAGCTCCTCAGCCTGTCCAGATATATGGAGGGCGTCCTGCAGTGTGCCAGACTCAGGGAAGGTTCTCCACCCAGAGCCAGTATCAAGGCTCCTACAGCAGTTGTGGCCCCCAGTTTCAGTCAAGGGCTGCCTACAACAACTACACCCCCCAGTTCCAGTCGAGGCCTTTCTACAGCAGCTGTGTCCCTCAGTATCGGTCCCGGGCTTCATTTAGCCCCTGCGCGCCCCAATGCCAGACCCAGGGCTCCTATGGGAGCTTCACTGAACAGCACCGCTCTCGGAGCACCAGCCGATACCTTCCTCCTCCTCGGCGGCTGCAGCTTTTTCCCCGCAGCTGTTCCCCACCAAGACGTTTTGAGCCCTGCTCCAGCAGCTACCTGCCATTAAGACCCTCTGAAGGTTTTCCTAACTACTGCACCCCACCCCGCCGTTCTGAACCCATCTATAACAGTCGCTGTCCTCGACAACCCATTTCAAGCTGCTCTCAGAGACGTGGCCCCAAGTGCCGAATCGAGATTTCCTCCCCGTGCTGCCCCAGGCAGGTTCCCCCACAGAGGTGTCCTGTTGAGATTCCTCCCATCAGACGCCGCTCCCGGAGCTGTGGCCCGCAGCCGTCCTGGGGCACCTCCTGCCCCGAGCTGAGGCCACATGTAGAGCCACGTCCGTTCCCAAGCTTGTGTCCACCACGGCGTCTTGACCAGCGTCCAGAGTCACCACTGCAGCGATGTCCACCTCCTGCTCCACGTCCACGTCTGCTCCCAGAACCATGCATAAGTCCAGAACCACGCCCGCGTCCTCTACCACGACAACGTTCAGAACCTTGTTTGTATCCGGAACCACTTCCAGCACCACGTCCAACACCGCGGCCAGTTCCCCGTCCTCGCCCAGTGCAGTGTGAGATTCCAGAGCCACGTTCACACCTGCAGCCCTGTGAGCACCCAGAGCCTCGTCCACGGCCAGAGCCAATTCCCCTGCCAGCGCCCTGCCCAAGCCCAGAGCCCTGCAGGCAGCCTTGGCACAGCCTCAGCCCATGTTGGGGCCCAAATCCAGTTCCATACCCAGGAGACCTAGGCTGCCATGAGTCTAGTCCACACCGCCTAGACACCGAAGCTCCCTACTGTGGCCCATCCAGTTATAACCAGGGGCAAGAGAATGGTGCTGGCTGTGGGCCTGGTGATGTGTTTCCAGAGAGGAGGGGTCAGGATGGCCATGGAGACCAAGGCAATGCCTATGCTGGAGTGAAAGGGGAAGCAAAGAGTGCTTATTTTTAAAGGAAAGGTGACTGACACAAACCTGTCTCCTGCCTCTGAAAATGTTGTTCCTCCTGTTCCACAATTTCCAGTGCACTCTTGTTTGAATCTCTCCAGAGGTATTCAGAGACTCCCTATTACAAAGGTGATGTCCAAACTCCTTTGTCTATCATCCAAAGATTCACACCTGGGTTTCAGATGCCTCTCCAGCCTCACATGTCACTCCTCCCCTGTACACATCCTCAGCTCTAGCCAGACCAGTCTGGCCATCGGGCACAGCTTGGGTGTTTCCCGGGCCATACCTTAGATGTCCCTGCCTCCAAGCCTCTGCTCACTCTTCCCCCCTCTTCCTAGACCACTTCTCTCCTCCTCCCCAGCTTCTGAAATCCAACCCATCTTTCACTGCATCCTCTGCACTACTTGGTAACTGCCTGGTAACATCTCTTGAATTGTTATTTCACTTTGCAGGCATATCTTCCTTATCTGCCCAATTAGGTTCTAAACTCCCAACTGAGTGGAGTCAGAGGATCTCTAAATCTCAGTGTCTATCCTGGGGCTGGCTGCTGCTTAGCAAGGCTTGTGGGTTGGCAACTTGAACCATGTTCTGTCCTGATGCTCAACTGCAGGAACTGAGGTGAGAGCAGACCACGTGACAATAAAGATCATGATGTACTCACTGCCTGAGTCCTGAGTCATTCCTGCTTTTATTCCTTGACTTGCTGAGATGAGGTTTTTATTGTGGCTATTTTAAATTGTGATAATAAAACGCATGTAACATAAAATTTACCATCTTCACCATATTTAAGCATTCAGTTCAATGGCATCAAGTACATTCACATTGTTTTGCTTCCAGCACCACCATCTGTCCACAGAACTCATCTTGCTGAATTAAATCTTCATCCATTAAATAATAACTCCTCATTCCTTGCTCCTTCTAGCCCCTAGCAACCACCATTTCTGTCTCTATCAATTTGATGATTCTAGGTAGCTCATATAAGTAGAAAAATGCAGTATTTGTCCTTTTATGACTGACTTACTCCACTTAGCATAATGTTCTCAAGGTTTATCCAAGTTGTAGCATGTGCCATAATCTCCTTCCTCTTCAAGACTGACTAATACTCCATTGCAGGTACATACTATATTTTGTTTATTTGTTCATCAGTGGATGGATGGGCACTTAGGTTGCTTTCACCATTTTTCTTGTAGTAAATAGTATTGCAATGAACATGGGTATACAAATACTTCTGTGAATCCCTGATTTCAATTATTATGGATAGATATCTGGAAGTGGGATCACTGGATCGTAAGGCAATTTTATTTTTAATTTTCTGAGGAACTGCTATACTATCTTTCATAGTGACTACATTATTTTACATTCCCACCAACAGGGTACAAGTCCTAATTTCTCCACATCCTTGTCAACATTTGCTATTTTCTGTTTGTTCTCTTGTTTTGGTAATAGCCATCTTGATGGATATGACATAGTATGAATTTTCATTTTAATTTATTACCTTTCTTGTTTGGTTTACTGTACCCATGGTGTGAGCTTTTTAAGCCTAGACCAAGTGGGTTGTCTTGTGGGTTTTCAATCTTCCCTCAGTGTCCTTGGCCCCAGATGGAAAGGACGAAGAAAAAGGCAAGGGGATGAGGAAACAGGGAGAATAACTCTGCCCCCTGGTCTAGGAGTGAGAGACTTCAGGCCTGGGTTTGGTGAACTGGGTTTTGCCTAGCTCTAGGGCTATAGTCACAGCCTTGTTGCCTCTGGAAAAGAGGAAGGGAAGAATGAAGTACCTGGAGGCTCTCTGGGGACACTCCTCTTCTTTCAGAACTAGGCCGGGCATGGTGGTTCACGCCTGTAATCCCAGCTCTTTGGGTGGCTGAGGAGGGCTGATCACCTGAGGTCAAGAGTTTGAGACCAGCCTGACCAAAGTGGTGAAATCCTGTCTCTCTACTAAAAATACAAAAATTATCCAGGTGTAGTGACCTGTGCCTGTAATCCCAGCTACTTGGGAGGTTGAGGCAAGAGAAGTGCTTGAACCCAGGAAGCAGAGGTTGCAGTGAACCAAGATCGTGCCACTGCTCTCCAGCTTGGGCAACAGAGCAAGACTCCATCTCACAGAAAAAAAAAAAAAAAAAAAGAACTAAATTATTTACTTTTCTTTCTCTTTTCTTTTATGGAGGTATTTGAGCCTAACTCTGCATTCCTCAATTTCTCCCAGGTTCCATTAGGCATGGGTGGTCTTGGCAGCATGAAGGTAAGGGCTGGAGGGGAGGAAGAGACAGCAGTGACTCTCCTCTTAGTCCTTGCAGGTGAGATGAATGCTGGGTGGGGATGTGGCTCTGGAGGATGAGGGTGCTGGAGGACAGGTCCTCAGGGAGAGAGAATGTAAAACTCCACTTAGGAGGATGACAGCAGAGGGCAGCTCTGGCCTGGGCCTCTGAAGGTCTGATCCGTAGCCCTGCTCCTCATAGTCCACTCCCAAGAGGACCTCACAGCTACAGAGCCATAGTTGGGAAACAGATCCAGGACCTGGCTCTGAGTATGCATCTCCCTTGCCCAAGGAATCGAGTTCTGCCAGGCTGATGGTGGAGACCTCAGAAACCAACTAGTAGAACCCTGTGTCATGTAAAGGAAAACTGAGGCCCTTCATGTGAAATCCATTCATTCATGTATTTATTGGGCAATATTTATTGCTCATCTGCTAGGATGGCCCTGGTTAGAGAGATAGACATAATCTTGTTTACTCTCAGTGCACAACCTAGTATACTGGTCTTCAAAATATGGTACCTGAACCAGCAGCATTGGCAACACCTAGGACCTTGTTTGCAATGCAAATGAAATGCATCACCCCAGACCTAATGAAATAAAGATTCTGAGAGCAAGGCCCAGCAAGCGGTGTTTCAACAAGCTCTCCTGGTGTTGCTGATGCCCAGGAACATTTGGTCATCACTGGTTTGGTGAAATGCCATATGCAGATAGAATATTAATATACATATATAGTATGTGTATATACGTGTGTGTGTATACAGACACGTATCTACATATCTATCCATCCTCTAATTCCCATAATATTCAGTCAGGCAGGTATTATTATTTTGCCCTTTTGCAGAATTAAAAACCTAAGCACTCAGGGTTTAAGTGCTTGCTAAGCCATACGGCCACTCATGACTCCCAGTCTGCATTCCTTAATACCACACATGGCACCTTGGATCTTAGTCATAGTCCCTGCCTCTTCCAAAGATCTTTCCAGTTTTAACCCAATTATTTTCCCAATGCAATCTTGGAGTTCTCTCAGTCACTGAATAGGTTATTTAGTTCCACATCCGCCTCCTCCCTTAAAATCCAAGCTGCTCTAGAATTGAATTTGCCGTGTGGCACGTTCCCCAGGGGCTTGGCAGGACCTGAATCTGGCCCCACAGAGCATCTCCAGGTTTCCATTACCCAGGCCTCTGGGTGGGAGTGAGGAGGGCAGGGTAGGGAGAGGCTTGGAAGCTCCAGTTTGGGAAGGGATTCTTGTTAGATCTCTCCCATGTCCTCGAAAACAAACTGCTAGACAAGGAACCCCTTGCCTGGGGATGCTTGGGGGCTGACCACTCACTCCTGCAAAATATTGAAGAAACACATAACTGGCTGTGCCAAGGTGGTGGTCACTTCTAAGAAGTCCTGACCTCCCCTAGGTCTGGGCGACAGGTCCCCATCCAGGATCTTTATTGAATGAGCAATGCTCTGTGGTCTGCACCATCCTCTGGGGATAGATTCTGGTTCCCAGAATGATGGTAGAATAGAGGGGTCTTTGGTTGGGCCAGCCTGGAGCAGAGCCAAGAAATCCCTAATGGCTTGGTGTTCTTCACTGCCCAGGGCTATGTAGGAGCCAGCCCCCAGAACATTTCTACAGCCAGAGACAAACACCTCAGAGGAAAAAGGCACACAGGGATGTGTGTCTGTTTTTCATGTTTCTTTTTGTGTGTCTATGTGTCTGTGTGTCTAACTGTCTGCTTTAAAAGCTTGGAGCTTTTAAAATGCATTTGGCAACAGGAGCTGTGGCCCCAGAATATGCTTTAGGATATCCTAAGTCCTTCAGCAACAGCTTTGATGATCCCTGTCATCTCTTCTACTCTCCACCATTCACCATTTCACTGATGACAGGCATCTTGGCTTTCTGACCTCTCCTTTTGTGTCAACCACTTGAACAAAACTTAAAGTGACTCCAGAACCAAGGCTGAAGACCCAAGAGAGCAAAAGAGACCATTTATAAGACCTTTCAATGTACTCGAAAACCAACCAGAGAGGCTCCTCTTCAAATCCTACACGGATGTTAGGCAGCACACAGGTTGTGTAGCTTCTGTACCAGAGTCTGGTGAACTCTGTTGCTCAGAAGTGCCCATGAATTGGCCAAGTCACAAAGTGTGAGGCACTGATCAGTCCAGACGTCCATGCCTGACATCCAGCCATGCTGCCTCAGAACCGGGGCCTGGCTCCCAGAGAGGGGGAGAACATGAGAGAGACTGGGACTGAAGATCACGCTTCTCACTTTGGAATCCTGCTTACATTCTTCTGCAATTCTGTACCTTTTTTCTCTTTCTAAGCTTTCCACTGTGGAATCTTCACTGTAGAATGAAAGATGTTCTCAGAAGTTCCTTCCAGACCAAGTGGGTTATCTAAAATTCCTTTTTGTGGAAGGCAGTATGCTAGAGGGAAATTACCTGGGAGACTCACTTAATGACACAGAATCCCGGGATACATCCTAGAACTACTTAGCTTGAACTTTCAGAATGAAAATCGGGGACCTGCATTCGAGAATTATTCTGATCAATCAGAAGTGAAAACTATTTCTATAATGAATACCCAGGTGTGTGAGCTTACTCAATACCTAGGAGGAGGGTTGAAAGTTGTACACGTCTGGCCCCAGCATGAGTAGGATGTGGCAGTGGTGGTGAAGACAGAGCTGACTGTTAACTGGTTTCTTGTAGGAGGTTTTATGTAATTGCCTATGTGGGGACACAAATTATCCACCTCTTGG